GTAAGAGGTCAAAGTGCACTGCCATACGAGATCCGTTTAACTAACCTTAATCTCTATCCTCTGAGTTATAGGCAGTTGCGCGGAGACTTGATACAAACTTTCCGTATCGTGCGTGGCTTGGACTGCGTCCTTCGGTGCGATGAATTTTTCCAACTCGCCACAACAACTAACCTCCGGGGACATCCCTTAAGGCTACGTGTGCCCCAGGGTAGATTGAATGTAAGAAAATATTTCTTCTCCAACCGTGTCGTGGAACCGTGGAATAATCGGCCCTAGACGGTTGTCATGTCTCAATCTGTGGCGACATTTAAATGTAGACTTGACAGACATATGCTACAGCATCAAGCGGACTTTGTGACTTTTTAGCCATGAGACCAGTGACATATGTGAATCAATGCCTGCATACACTTACTGCTGTAATTTCTTCACATTCTGCTAACTTATCGATTTTTATGTACAAATAGGGAGTTCAAAGGCGTTAGCCTATTTCCCTAAATACACTGACTGACTGGCTGACTGAACCAGATGAGATGTCACCCAAGCTTCTCATGGAACTTGCCAGTGAGCTTTCTCTGCCTTTGTCGATGCCCTTTCAAACGTCATTTGACACTGGAACACTGCCTATCGATTGTAAGTTGGTGCCTATTACTCCGCTATACAAAGGAGGTAACAGGGCATAGACGACAAACTACAGGCTCATAAGCTTAACATGTATTGTTTGCAAAGTTATGAAAAGGATCATAAAGAGCGAACTGATGCAATTCCTGGAAGTTCGCTGACTGCTGTCGAAATGCCAACGTGGGCTCCGGAAAGGAAGATCCTGCACGACAACCTTGCTGAAATCTCTCCAGAGCTGGACCCGAGCTCTCGACGACAAGCACGCGGTCCACATAGCCTTCATCGACTTCCAGGAAGCGTTCGACACTGTGCCACATCAGATACTGTTAGATAACTAAAAAAAAATATGTATCGGCGGCGACTTCCTCAGATGGATCGGAAACTTCCGTTTTGGTCGACATCAGGTTGTGTGCATCGGTCAAGGGAAATCAAATCCTGCTATGATCGAGAGTGGTATCCACCAGGGTTCAGTGCTGGGACCCATTTTGTTCCTTATATGTGTAAACGATGCCGCAAGAGCTCTGGACTGCGAAGTAGCAATGTTTGCAGACGACATGAAGATATGGAGTGTAACCCAAGACCCTCCCGACGAAGATGAGTGGTCAAATAGATGGCTCCTGCAGTTCAACTTTGGTAAGCGTAGCATACTTCGCCTTGGCAACACAGCCAGACCCGCCAGCATAGGACACTACTTTCTGGGCGGTGCAGCCCTACAAGACGCCATAGCTCAAATGGACCTAGGTGTGCTGACGACGAATTTCCTAAAACCACCCGCTCATTGTTCGAGAGTGGCATAAAGCGCAATGTCCGTAGTGTACGCCACCCAGCGTGCGTTTATGGATTTTGACGAAGACGCCTTCATAAAGACATTCGGAGCATTCGTGCGGTCGTACATGAGGTAAGGTATACAGGCCTGGAGGCTGTTGGCATTTGAGGATCAAACTGTCTCGAAAGAGTTCAGATGAGAGGCATGAACATGATTAGGAGTCAAAGCTCCTTTTCTTATGCAACCGCCTAGTAAATCTGAACCTCTTCCCTTTAAGTTACAGGCCAGTTTGCGGGGATCCCTTGCAAGCATTCCGCATTGTAAAGGGGTTGGATTGCAGCCTGGCCTTCGAGGAACTTGTTGAATTCGCTACCACAACCGACCTCCGCGGTCACCCGTTTGGACTGCGCACTCAGCAGGCAAGGATGGATGTGCGAAAGCTCTCCTTCTCTGTTCGAGTGGTCAAAC